AAACCAGCTGAGATAGTGGCAGATAACATTGTGAACTGGCTCAGAGAGAGGAACGTAGACCAGACCCTGCAGGCCAATGGAGGGGACAGCACCAACATGAACACAGGGTGGCAAGGGGGGGTCATACAGTGGATAGAGCGGAAGATTGGGAGGAAGCTGGTCTGGATTGTTTGTGACCTCCACACCAACGAGTTGCCACTCAGACATCTGATCCAGGAGCTGGATGGCAAGACTCTTTCAAACAACAGATGGTCTGGTCCTCTTGGCAAGATGCTGGACTCTGCCACTGAGTTAGAAATAAATCCGAGCTTTGAAAAAATCACAGTTGGCCCTCCACTCGTTGAGCTTGCACATACTGTCATTGACGACCTGAGTACTGACCAGTACTATGGTTACATGATTTGCAGTGCCATCAAAACTGGGGTCATGCCTGATAGACTTGCTTACCTGCAGATTGGTCCAGTCTCACATTCTAAGTGGCTCACAACGGCTCTCAGGTTCTGCAGAATTTGGGTTGCTCATCATAAACTGAAAGGGAACCAACTTCACAACCTGAGACTTATTGTCCAATTCATCGTGAGTGTCTACTTGCCAAATTGGTTCAACACCAAGGTCAAGTCATCGTTCTCCGAAGGTCCGAGGCATGTTCTCTTCAACCGAGCTCCTGAGAGTCAGCCAGGAAGGTTGTTCCAGATTGTGGAGCAGACTGTGAGGAGATCTTCCTAGTATGCTCATCCCGAGAGCAGTTCTGCAGACAATGCTCTGCAGTAAGGATGAGGAGGAGAGAAAGAGTGTGGCAGTCAAAAGATCTTGGATATGGAGACTTATGAGAGGGATCTGGAGCTTGACAGATCAGTTGGTGATTCCTTCAGGGTCAGGAAGACTCCTGGGGGAGTCCAATCTACCAAGACCCTCACTGATCTCATAGATCTGGATAACATCCAGGCTGGCAGTGAGCCCCTTCTTACCTGCAGCCTCACCAATGTTCAAGTCAGAGCTTTCCTGGACAACCCCATGCATGTCCCTGCCTGGCCCTCGCACACCCAGAGTATAGAGAGTTGTGTACAGCAAGTGAGCAAGGCCAGCAGTCACGTGTACAACATGGAGAGGAGGGAAGGCTACATCCGAGCTCAGGTGGTCAGCAGGGAGGTGATGAGTAGAAACAGAAGCAAGAAAGACATGTTCTCTATGGTGTGCAACAACACCGGGTCGTAGTAGTAAAACCGGTTTTTGTATTTGATGATTTTGTTTTCTAAAGGAATATTAAATT